TACCTCTCTTCCAAATGACAGAAATAATGAAATAAGCTTAGGGATTTTAGTATTTATATGTGGGCATTTTAATAATTTCGGTTTTGTGCATGGTGTGCATGGCTGGTTTGTCCTATTTTTGTCCCAAGATTAAGAAATTGTCCCATTTTGGGTATTTCCCTAAAAAATTTTGGTGCCATTTTTAATTCAACATCTTTCTTCAGTGTGCCCATTTTGGTCACAATAGTTGCAGTGGTATTATAGTGTTCGGCAATTTTCAATCAAATGTTCGTCTTTGTCTCTGTGAGCACGGTGCTACTTATTGTGAAAGTCATTCTGTCGATTTTGAACTGCAGCGACAATGGAAAAATTGTTAGTTGTTCTCGATGTCATATAGCGTTGTGTCTCTTCTTGAGCAACGAGCAAGTATGCTTGACTGACATATGGTAGCAGTGTCATCATGAGGATATTGCTGGAACTCCACTATTGGTATCGTTGAGTCCATGAGAAACTGCATCATTCGGTTTTCTTCTGTTTGTTCATTGTGTTACTTCATTTGGTTTCAAGTGGAAGGAGTGCAATAAGTGTCCAATTCATCCGAGAGGCTCTTAAGTTGTGTTTAATTGGTTAAAACTATCGTGGTGACTTGTGAAAGAAGGCAACAGATTTTGGAGTTGATAGATTGGCGGTACATTCTTTTGTGAGAATAAATCTTTGAAATTTTCCCACACTTGGTGAGCACTTTTGGCGTGAACGACACCTTTGGATAGGCTGCTCTCCACGAAGTGTGCAAGCCATGATAAAATCATGTTGTTGCACTATTTCCAGAGTGCATATTCTTTTAGCTTCGTTATCTCTGATGGGGGGCTCGATGGAGCCATCAATAAAGTCGATCTTGTTTTTTTGCGGTGAGAGCATGAATCATGATTTACTCCAAGATGGATTGTTGGAGCCGTTCAAATTTTCAAGAACTAGCATATGGCCAGGGTGATCTGAGTGATAGGGCGGTGTAAGGATTTAATGGATCCATACCGAGGTTGATATTGTTGCCGCTTGAAAGTTTTGTTGGTGTTTGATTTTCTACTGTGGTGCTTGTTAATAGGATTTGGGAATTTTTTGGTGGTGTTTAATCGTGTCCTATCATGTTGTTTGGAGGCTAGGAACTCAAGTACCGGGATTATGCTCTGTATATCATGTAAAGAAGTAGGAGACATAGTTGCTTTGAATATAATTCTTCAGTTGACTAATTATTCCTCATACAAGATGTTATACACAATATTTCACAATCAATACATATCTACAATCATGGCATATAGGCCTAGCAAACGCATGGTGTTTGTCATGTTCTTATAGTATCTGTTATCTGAATGAATCGTGTCGTGTCATACATGTTGACACACCCCGACCTAGGAAGGTCAAACCATGCTGGCCATCACCGTGAGGTGACGTAACCATAAGGGTAAGTGATGTGAAAAAGTGGATAAATTTAAAACTAATTAGAACTAATTATACTAAATAGTGAAAGAGTGCGAAATCGTGGGAATAACCCACTACAATTATTCAGAGCATAATAGATAGTACGACTACCGTAGAATAGTCAAAGTAGCTAAGTACACTTATTACACAACGGTGGATAAGTTCATACTTCTAACCAAAGAGAATGTTAGCATTGCCAAGATTCCTCGAATGCCACAAAGAGTAGAGCTATCTAGGTCCTGGAGAGGCGAAAAACAAAGTTGAGTGGGTTAGCAAAACCATGCTTATACGAAAACCTTTATTTTCGAATATAGTAACCCATCGCCGTAAAACAAGTATAGTTTCCTTAAAACATACTTCGTAGGTATGTAAACAACAATATAACCAAAAAAATATGCCAAGTCATGATATATCAATGCCATAGTAACAAAAATCATGTGATGATCAAGTATAGCTAAGTGCTCATCCATCTAAGTTGACACACGAGTTAGAACAGATAATCTCTTCGAATAGGACTGGGTGTAATCAATACACTCTAGTACTACGATCACGTGAAGGCTGGTGCAGAAGCATAGTCACATACAAGTTGGATTGCCTAATGCAATCTGCCATACAGGACTGGCACCTAACTTGGATCCAAGGCGAGCGAACGATGCGATGTGAACATACACGTGAAGGACTGGCCCTGAATTTAAGGTGAGTACTAACACCGGTGCAGCAAGATGAGCATGTACAAATATGTATGAATGTCATGACATTAATATCCCAACCATATAGCAGCATTTATCACATTTAATATCACAATAACAAATACTTGGTAATATAAGCGTAAAAGTGAAGTAACTACGCATTTAGGGAAACTATAAATAAGTATAAAATAAACTGCCCACTCACAAGTACGTCGCAGGGTCGTAGCCCCCGAGTCTGGCCTAGCCCAGTACATCTTCAGGATACGTTTCCCCCATATGTGAAATAACTATAATAGAATTAATTAAAGCACATATATAGAAACTTAAATAAAACCCCCATAGTTTGCTCAAACCTAGGGTTTAAATACATGAAATTGATCTACTCGACGTCACAAACCTACATAAATTTTCAGATAAATTTTTGGACCCCGCACACGCCCCCACGCGCAGGCATGTGTCATCAGTGTGACTGACGCCGTTAGGAATGTTCCGTTAAAACCTTAACAGAGATTAACGGCGTTACCTAACGTTGTTAGAATATTCCGTCGACTTTGACGGAATATTCCTTGTCTTCTCCAGTGAGCTCCGTCGTCCGCCGTCGTCCTCTGCCACATATGCCACCTTCTGCAACTCGAATCTCGCCGGTTTCTGGAAAAATTTCAAACTTACATAACTTCTTCATTTCCCAACCATTTTCGACCTACTTTATATGGATTTGAAGCTTATAAAGAGTAGAATCACGTTATAAAGCTTTTTTTTTTTCTTTTGCTTTTCTGATTGGATGTCGTGAGGAGGGAATGGATGAGATTGGTGAGAGATTTGAGGGAGTTGATTCGTGAGGGAGTGAAATAATGGGGAGTGCACGGGTTGGCTTTAAAGAAAACTAAGGATAGGGTGTAGATTTTGTACAGAAAAGAGAATCGAAAATCTATCCGAAATAGTGTTTTCACACTGATAAAAATTCTCGTACTCTCGCAACAATGTGTACAATTAAAAGCGATAGCGAGGAATAAAACAAAAGCGATATAAACACGTCCACGCCACTTGCCTACACGGGCATAATAGTCAATTCACATACATGAGGAGGAATTACATAGAAAATTAGGGACGGGTTGTCACATCTGTTATCTTAACCGGTTGTGTCATTTTACCCATTAAAATTAACAGGTAAAATGACCCAACCTATTAAGTAAATAGAAGATTAAAATTAAAAATTAACGGGTTGTGTCATACTTTGTTCTTCATTGTTGTAATTATTGTTGTTTATTTCTCATTCTTTATTTTCATCTCTAAAAATTCAGGTATGATTGAATTGGAATGTATCATTGTTCTTTAAAAAGAAACATTGACATGTACTACCACAATTTATTCTCAAATTGAAACGTACTTATGCTAATTTAAAAATGTATTCATACCGGATTACTAAATTGCAATGTACTCTTGCGAATTGAAACGTATCCATATTGGCTTGAAACGTACCAATAGATTTTAGGGTTGCACATAACTTGCCGTTAGCTTTTTACATACTAAAACTATGATAATATAAACGTATCAGTAATTTAGTACTTATCTAAAGAAAAAATAAATAACATATCAAAATACTAATTTGTACACAAATTTGGATTACATAACGTACCAATAATGTACAAAATTACTGGTACACTATTTTTTAATACATATGGGCGTGTGTGTGTATATCATGTATGTAATATCATTTGGAGTATATAGGTACGTTTAAAATATCACTGTTTGGTTTTCTTTTATTAAAAAAATTATCGTCTTTTTTGCACCCACTCTTCAAATTTTTTTATTTTTTATTTTTTTTTGTTATTATAGAATATTTTTTTTTTATAAATATATTAGATTAATGTGACATAAATTAACAATATCTTCTTTTACATGATTGTAGGAATTTGTTATTTTCGATTTAATTAGTAAATTAATTATAACAACAATTTATGTAATTTGAAATTAATTAGTAAATTAATTAAAACTGTAGGAAAGTAGTTTGATCAAATCTCTAAAAGCTTTTGATGTTTGGTCTAAAAAATTTGAAAACCAAGCATCATCGAATGCCCGTTAGTAAAAATATATTTTATAGAATTTGCACATACCATATTGTCACATAAATACATTTTATAGTATGTGTTTTTAGCAGTTTAAAATTCTTAAATTAGTATTTTTCTTATCATATAACGAGTTATCCGCATTTATATTTAGACCAACCTATTATCTTAACAAGTACTTTTTGGATTACCCGATAATAATACAATTCGTTAATATGTCGATCTGAACTTGTTAATTTTGTAATATTTTATATCAAGTTAACGGATCATATAAGACATTGTAAAATCTAATGGCACACAAGCCATGATCTCGAATTTGTGGGATTGACCTGTATGGTAGGAAAGGTATGATATAATCATAATAATATTTCTCTGATTTGTGGGATTGACCTACGTAAGGAAAGGAATAATATAATAATAATAGTTCTTGAAAATTGTTATTGTTCTTGAAAAAATCTCATTTTGCACTTTAATCTTTATATGATTAGAAAGAAAAATGCATTTTTAAGAAGTGTATATGAGATTTTTTTTTAATGCTAATAACATTTTCTTATTTTTTTAATAAGACGACTATATGCACAAAGTTTCAAAGGCTCAAAAAAGGCATGAAATCATCAACTTGGAAATCGTTTAGCCATTCATATGTATCAAACAAATGAACGGCTTATGATGAAGATGTTACTTACTTCCTAAACTATTTATTAGCTTAACGCGTATAGATGACTAAATAATATTTTTACAAATATGATGTTTAGATAACAATAAAAGCGAAGAGAAGACATGTCGTCGTTCATACTATTGTTGCCGAATGCACGGTCAATGCGCACTAGCATTTATCCTTCACTAGTCACTGGTACTCTGTCCATCGTCTTCCCAAAACAGACTGGTTTTTGCCACCAAAAACACCAACAAAATGGGACCTTCTTCCACAACTCAATCCCTCACTCTTTTCACCTCCCTCCCCAAAACCCTAATCCTCTCCCCAGAGTCCCACTCTTCATCCCTGCAACTCTCAAATCCCAAGAGACTGAAATCCACCATTACAATGAGAGACAGAAGCAACAACCCACGGCCGTTGCAGAAGGGGAGGTTCCTCAGCATCGAAGCCATCCAGACCGTGCAGGCATTGAAGAGGGCGCAGAAAGATCAGAGCATTTTGAGCCAAGTTTTCGATTCCAAGTTCCGGCGGTTGTTGAAGCTCGATATGATGGCTGTCCTCCGCGACCTCCTCCGCCAGAACGAGTGCATCTTGGCCCTCAAGGTTTGCTCTTGCAGTCTTATTTTCAGTTCATGTTTGTTTTCGATTCGTTTTTCCATGAATTTACCTTGAATGTCGAATTGGGTAGTCTTCAATTTCAACCAGTTAAATAATTTTGATGCAAAAAAGCTATCTTTTTGTTTTTGTTTTCTTTAATTTGATCATATTTACATAGAATCCCAATAAACCAGTCCGACTTTGTGTTCCATGTCCTGTCTACACGTTGAGAAGGCCTCAGTTCTTCTCAATTTTCTTCAACTTTGATCCCATTTATTGACATGGTTATTGTTTTAGGATGTGGAATCGTTGATTCGAGCTTAGACCTATGTTGTCGGTTGGTTAATTGCTTCGTTTTAGGTTTTAAACCCAAAGCTTGATTCTTAAAACCGAAATTGAAGCTCTAGAGGACCATTCCATACTCAAAATAATCAACATTGTCAATAAATGGGATTAAGGTTGAAGAAAATTGAGTAGACATGAGGTTTTATCAATGCGTTTTGTACTTTAGAAAGAACCAACTTCTTGCACAGAGAATCATCTGCTGCTAATTTACATGGCTCATGATGATTGATTGTGTTTCTTGTTTTGATCATTACCCTTTTCGTTTTGGGTTTTGTTTTGCATTTTCCTAGAAGAAGGATTCAGGTTTTCAATTTGTTACTCTTGTGATTGATTTGATAGGCTTCATTGCTTGTTGCAGGTCTTTGAAGACATTCGAAAGGAACATTGGTACAGGCCACAGGTTTCATTGTATTCCGATATAATTAGAGTAATGGCTAGCAATGGATTGTTTGAACAAGTTGAACTTCTTTGCTTGTGCTTGAAAAAGGAAACTAATTTACAGCCTGAAATTGAGGCATTTAATGCTCTAATGACAACATTGATAAGTTTTAACCTCCCTAAACTTGCAATCGACTGTTATTACTTGATGAAAGAGGTGGGGTGTGAACCTGATAGGTCATCCTTTAGAATACTTGTTAATGGTCTAGAGTCGATGGGAGAGACAGGTCGTTCGGGTATTGTAAGGCAGGATGCTCAAAAGATTTACAGGGAATCTCTGGAGTTTCTAGAGGAGAATGAAGAAATGGAAGTGAGCCATCAGTGAGTGTTGGATAGATCATATGATATCTGATGTAAGGAAACATGTAAGAAACTCTAACCGTTGTGGATAAAAAAAAAAAAAAAGAATTTGATATCATCTTTCATGTGATTACAGTTGAGATCAAGTTAGTTCTTTGTAGGACTTTGTTTGGAGAAGCAAGCAATTGCTTGCATGTACTCAGTCATTTTTCCCTCTGAGTTGCAATTCGGTAGACAGAATAGTATATACCTTGGAACATAATCATTCCAGAATTCATTCTTTCTCCCTACTTTTCAGCTTTGTGATCGGTAGGTATAATGGATTGCATTAACACTTCTTAGTAAATGGTTTGCATGCTAGAAATGGTGTGATTGCTTTAGTTCCCTATGTCGGGGTATTCCCAAATTAAAGTACTTTCCCGAGCAAGAACATAAGACTTGTGTTGCACAGTTTGGTTAGCTGGACGGATTTGATAACACTAGCAGAGCAAGTGCTAGACAAACTAAAAGTAAGGGTGCAACAGTCGGATGCTCGAACTGAGAATTAGAGAACTGGAAGATCGTTCAAGCGTATTGAAGACCATGGCTAAGGCGACGGAAGTGCCTGCTGTTACTAATGTCTGTAAGTGTTAGCATTGTGTAGATCAGTCTACAAAAAACTTGATTGAATATAGAATTTTCTCCAAACTCCTCTGTTGTCTCTAATATTTTCTCAACCCTTCTCATATTTTCTTTCGTTTTACTTTTACTGCTTATTTTCCTTCTCTTTCTAATGCTCTGCATTCTCACATGATAATTGGCAAACCATCTCTGAAAACAACTAACACACAAAGCAAATATAACCATTAAAGTCGGATTATAGCGAAGAATCGAGGGGCATAACTTTACTTTTAAATAGTTACATGTTCCATCAAGTACTACACTTTCTAATCATCATATCCCTAAAGACAAAACTGGGGCCTAATATTCCCATTTTTTCAACTTTCTCCTACCATTTTCCCTCTTCTTTTGACTACTAACCTAAACTTTATATAGGATAGCAGAAAAACTGAAGTGACAAAGAGACACATGACCACGAGGTAATGTATGTTCTGTTTCAGAACTGTTTCCCTTCAAATGTCTGGCCAAACTGCCAGTTTGCTGGAGCAACATTGTAAGATGTGAGTGTTCTTCCGCTACTTACAGTTACCTCGAACGAAAGAGGCTGCCCTTTAAGATTGACATTGCTTTGCCAGTTCTGCCCCCAGTTCCTGGCCAGCGGTATCCACCCGGTTCTTGAACCCTTCACTTTCACAGCAAGAACCTCCCCATCTAAACCTACATTGGTGATTAGGACCTGGTAGAAGTGAGAACTCCCACCCACCATGAATCTTATCCCTCCATTTCTCTCACACTTCACCCTGCACACAAAAAGTCACAGAGCTTCTTGCTTAGTGCAGGTATCACAATCAGATCCAAGGGAAAAAAAAGTGGTATTATCGGCACTCCAAAAAAGACGTCTTGCACTCCTCAAAGTGCAATTTTCGCTTATGTTTTATAAGTGCAGTTGGATCATAGATGCGCTTTTTGGAGTACCAATAACAGTTCTTTGAAAATTTCTGACCAACCTTCTCCATTACCTTCTATATTGAACTGGCACAATATCAGCTTTTTTCTTTGCAATTTCACCAAATGCTGCCTCAGACATCTCAAAGTGTTCTTTGGGGAAATTGCACCAGCCACCATAGTCTGCTGAGAGCCCGAAATTCGGAGGACAGAAATCTGTAGCAGTGAGAATAACGGAGGGGCTCCCTTGCAGACACCACAAGATGTGATCAACACATCTCAGCTCATAACAAGCCCCACAGGTGCTCCCTCTGTTGAACAAAATTCCACTCAGACCAGCACTGTGCTTCCCATAGCTGATCCTGTGAAGGTCCCCATAACCACAAGCACCTTCTGCAACAAAATAAAAAAACAGACCTTGACAAACTGTAAATATGGAGAGAAACAAAAACTTACCTATAACTGGGACGCCATTGTGGTGATTTCACGTCAATCAAGCACTACGGAAAGTTAGTTTACATGCTATACTGGCATTCCGGTTGCAGGGAAGTTCTTTTCATAAACATGGAGTGGAATTATCCAGTCAAAAACGTGTAAAGTTTGGAACTTTTTTCACACCAGAAGTAAGAAAAACTGCGAATATGGAGTAAAGTAGTTCAGTTTCCCAGCAGGCACCTCGGCAGTTATGAAAGTAAGATTAACTTACATTCAATATTAACGCACAATAAAAAACGGATTTCAGGGGTGCTCAAGCAATTTCACAAAACAGTTTTTGGGTGTCTTATGCAGTCAAAAACTCAAAAGTTGACAACTTTCTTGCTCCAGAAGCAAGAAGAGCACAATTAATGATGCAAACAATGTAAGTTATTTTAACTCAATAGTTGGGATGTCATTCTTGCGGTATCCCAAGCCAATCAAACAATTTAACTTTCCTGCATACCGCCACATCGACACGTTTCTTCTCGTTAACATGTAGCATATTTATTCAGTCAAAACTTGAAAGATTGAAACACTTTTGCAGCAGAAGCAAGAAGACATACCAGTAATGATAGACCCATCAGTTTCTTTGGAATACGTTGCAGTGGCAGTCTTCCATTCTTCTACATCCCGTGCAGCAGCAATGTTGCTGCACAATAAAACGCAGAGGAGAAATGCAGCAGCTTGAAGTTGAAGGGTTCCTCCCATTTGAGAAAATGAGGCCTAGTAATCTACCAGAAGCAATGGCTTGTACTTGAAATCAAATGGGTTGCTTTTACTTTTGTCTCCTTTTGATGCAACTGGATTGTAGAAGGAAGAAGAAGAAAGCTTTCCTTTTCTACTGTGAAAAATGACCGGAATCTCCCTGCTGAGATTAAGCAAATGACTGGGGACAAACAATGGCGTCCACATTTCACATTGGGGGCACATTTTGCGAGGCAAAAAGATGGATGGGCATGTTGGTCAATGAGTCAATAGGGTTTGGACCCTCAACCATGGAAAAAAAAATGGAAGCTTTTGCTTGCTTTTTAACCGAGGAATTGGAACCCAGATCCTTTTTGTCAGGATTTTGGACATCCGTCAATCATGTTCATTCATCGTACATCTACGGTTAGAAATTATTTTAAATATTTTTATTTAAAATTAAATACAAAAAGTATTTGACAAAAACTAACCACACGATATACGATGAACGAACACGATTCACGGAGATCCCCACCAAAATGATCCGGAGAGGATCCTGTTGGGAGGAATTGAGACTCGAAAGGGAGTTTGGCGCCCGCATTTGGCTACACTCTCTGTTGGTGGCAGACAGCGGAAAGCCTTGAAAACAAGTATTTTATAAAGATAAAAACAAATATCGAAGATACTTTTAATTTGTTTTTCAAAATCAGATGAAGGGTTTATGTGACAAGAACAATTTATATGAAACATGTGTCTGATTCTAAAGTAATACATATAGAAATTTATTTTTCATCGTATTATTAGACATGTATATATAAACTTATATATGACATTGTATTATTACACTAAAACACTATAAGAAGCATATTTCACAAAAGTCTTTCTCGTGCAAGAGTAATACTGATTCTTGAGTGAATATATTTTTTGTTATTAGCACGGATGATCACGATGACAGTGCATCCGTACCATAGAGATTACTCTCCTTGACATGGATTGAATTAGTTGCTAACTTGCTACTATGAATGGTTTCATCAAGCCATGTCAAACCCACAAGATGATTGCCCAACTGGGTACTATATCATTTTGCAGGCCTCAATTTCATAAGCCCGTTGCATGGAAGCCCAATTCAAGATTCTCTAGGGTTTATCATTTTGGAGTCCAATGGAGCTGAAACATTGACAAGATTCTATGGACACGCGGGAACTGTCTCTCGACACACAAGCATTGCTCATGACGAACAAAGAATTGTCTTTTGAGTTTGGTATCCATTACCCATCGACCAACTCAGACACAATTCTTCGTTCGCGAGACCCTCTGCTCTCCGTCTTTCAGAGAAATGTTGTATACAATGCTGCCGAATATGGCAGCTCCTCATTGTGAACGAGACTTGTGGATGTCGGCCTCACCCTGTGAGACGCTGCTACACACGACAGTTTCAATAGGCGATATTCAATAGACCTTAAACCTTTTAAAACCAAATAAAAGAGAAAGCCAAAAATTGGATGCAAACGCACAAAAAAGGAGCGACTAGAGAGGAAAACTTTAGGGTTTATATAAAATGAATCACTGTGAGGTTTTCTGTGTTTACGTTCTTCCCAAGTTACAACCTTGATGTTGATGGAGTAAGAGGCTCACACTATGATATCTTTCAACGGAACAATGCAGCTGACAGGGGTATTGTTCCCTTTCTCCCGAATGACAATAGAATTATCGCTGGTAACGCTGCTGCCGCTATTACTGGCGGTGCTGTTGCTGATGTTCTTATTAGTAGAGTGATAAAGGTTGAATGTTGCTTGATCCAATGTCCCTTCTCTGTAAACAAACACACTGTCATCTTCTTCCATTTTGCGCCATTTGCGGTTTCTGTCGCTAATTCGATGGAGATCATGGAGAGGCATGCCTCTGCAATGTACAAGACAAGTTTAATCAAAAGCTCAATAAGTTAATACTTTTCAGATAACATAATAAATATATTATCTTGCATTTTATGACAAACAACTCTGCAAAGATGCAGCAATATAAAGCTGATGGATGCATCAAATATAGACTTCATGAAGATTAATTAAGTCCATAATCTGCAGTTTATTTCATACATTATAATTAAATTATAGGAAAACTAATAAAAGGGACATGAAAACTTTGAGTTTTAACGATAAGGACAAAATAAAGAATAAAGTGAATAGTACAAGGATTGACTTTTTAGTGTAAAAATATGGTTTTCGTTAAAGCGAACAATACCAAAAGTTTTTCGTTAAAGTTCCCTTAAATTATTCAATTAGAAAAGAAAACAGTTCCGTCTCTACCTACCTAGAAATCACAGTAATTCTTAATTTACTTTTTTTCTTTTTAATTAACGTACATACATATGGAAAGGACTTGTAAACCCTTCCACAACATCGTTTGTATAAAAAATAAAAAAACCAAGACGCGTGCGAGTAACACAACCTATTATTCATGTATTAATTTGGTCAATATGATTATTAATCAAATACACGCAATTTTCGCACTCCTCTTTATTAAAGACATTCCAAAATCGCACATTTTATAATTTTTATTAGCTATCAAAGAAACCTTTTTGTACCATCTCAACCGATCGTACAATGTATCACGTCTTCAATAGGAGTGAAACCAGAGAGACTCACATACGTATCAAAGCAGTAATACAACACAAATAGTCATTTAAGATTCTAAAACAGCATTACTCGATAAGATTAAACACGACCACATTAACCTAGTTGCATAACATCACAATTAACCAGGTCAATTTTTTTGTTATTCTTATCACCGCATGCGTAAATTTATCTTATGCTACCGGTCAAGTCCAGATAAAGCCGGTATTTTATTCTTCACGTCGAATCCGTAATTTTTGTATATATTTTTCAACTATTTATATTAGGGGACTTGGTCAATTCAAAAATTACAAACCACCCCAAATCCTATCTATCAACGTCACTCATCCACAAAACCCTCACAAACAAAAAGTAACACTCATGCACTACACAAACTCACTCACCAAAAATAAAACCAGCGAAAAATAAGGAGAAATAAAATAAAATACAATTAATTAATTAATTAAAATAGAAAAATGGGGAAGAGTAAACAAAAGAAACGGTACTGCACTCACCTTACATGGAAGAGATCGGAGATGTCGCTCATCTCGAGGGAACAGTTAACGGCGTCAATAAACGCCCGGTACGTATAGATGTGAAGCCCGTCGATTCTCGGGTAGGGCAGCCTCGGCCTCGGCAGCGGCGCCTCTGCCGGGGGAGCCCACTTGCTCCGCCACCCTCCGGCTGCGGAGAACACGTACTCCTTCGTCGCAGCCGACGACGACGAAGACGGGGGAAGCCCCACGAACCCGAGGGTCGCCATGATCGGCTCGAGCTCGTCGTGGGTCATCATGGGCTTGAAGGTCCGAGTGTACCAGAGCGCCAGCTTCCGAGTGCAGCCGCGCATGTAGTCCTCCATTTTTGCAAAACTTGGAGCTTTTTCTGGGTAATTTTTTCTATTTTTGGATCAAAAATCGGGGGAAGAAGGGAGGAGAGTTTGAAAGTAGGGATTGGCGATTGGGGAATTCGGAAAATGGGAAGAGTTCTGGAGGGGTTCGTGGTGAGGGCCTGTGGTGTGTGGGTGGGAGAGTATTTGAAAGAGGGGTAGTGACTTGCCACTCAAGTTGGAGGAAATTACGGAGTAACTGACTGAGGAAAGGAGGAGAGTACGAGGGTGTATCTGGGATTTCGAAGCGGTGCTCAGAAAAAGGTGGCTAAAGATTGGATTTTTGTGTTGTGAGAAATGTGGGATGTGATCTGGTGAATATGGTAATTGTATGGAACTTTATGGAGATTTTGTGCCATAATGATGGATGTGTATTTATGGTACACGTTTTGAAAGACCCTTGATTTAGGAAATTGTTTGGAGGAGATTGTCACGCCTGTTACGTTTGTGTGTGCGTGCGTGTGTTTTTTTGTTTTTTTTTTTTTTTTAGAGAATATTGTGGAACCGACTGGAAAATTTTTGAACTAAATTCGTTTGATTTCTAAACCATCGTGCGGAAGTGCAGTGAGTTGAGAAGGGAGGGCCGGAGACAACAAGCATTGTACAACTTTCACTAGATTTCGAACATGTATGAAGTTTTCGAACGGAAAGGAAGTTTGAAAACGCTTGAGGGAGAAAGGGAGTTTTGTGCGAAGGAGACGACAAATTTAAGAAGGGTAACTATTGTCGGGGAGAGGGAGAGTTTAAGTTGAAAAAATTTAAAACGGTTGTCGAGGTATTATTTTTTATTTAATGACAGGTCATTTGTGACCCGGATTTACCCTAAGCTCATTTTAATGGATCAATTTTCAACTATTCAGATTTGATCCACTGGAACATATTCGGTTTGCACCTTGGAAAATGAAAGTAGGACAATCTATATTCTAAAACGAGGCTCACAAACCAACAGTTGTTCTGAAATAGATTGCAAATTTCCGAGGCGCAAATTACAATTTTGCCTCTATCTTGAGACGTGCATACCTTGTTTGTTACAGGTCAATGTAGACATCGAAATTTTGGTGAAATAAATGTTCACCAACACATTAAAATTTCAACATGTCAAGGCATACATGACATACACCATGTGTCTCACAAATTGTACACATGTTGTGACTCATCAAAATCGAATGAGTCATCAAGAAGGATACGCGCCAGCACTTGGCGAAAAGGAATTATTCGATTTTAATTTAATTAAATCAAATGTTAATTGATGGAGTTAAATCACGAATCTGCCCACAAAATCGAATCCTGTTTCTTTCGTCAATTAGTCAAGCTCACAATCAAGGCCAAATCCATCCATGCGCAATGCTTGGAGAGTCTATAAATACGAGGCTCCAAGAAAAAGAAAGGGTCCAGAAAATCATTCACGCCTAGACGTTGAAGCTCTGAAACTTTGAAGCTCTCAAGCATCCAAATTCCCAAACACTTAGAAGAATACGGAAAGCTTTATGCGTTCTTCGTCAAACCTTTGAAGAATCATAAAGCATTACAACCCGTGGCGGTTCTTCCATTGCCGCAAGCCAAATCCCTGCGGCAATCGTTCATCTAGGATCAAGTAATCATGACCTTCGGATCAATGATATACATGTACACATCTTCAAAGATCAAATCAGAGGAAACTTTGTAAACAGAGATTAACCCTACATTTACATCTATACAAATATTGTTTTGTACACGTGTTCTTGTCTCATTTGTTGCAAGAAATTCATGTTTATAGTCAAAATACGTCCCTTTTGCACCCCACGCATTTTATTGAAGAGTACTATTTTAAATATGGCAAGAAAAAAGACGAAAAGTTAAGAATTCAAATGTACACGTAGAAAATCCAGTGGCCTGTCAAGTGCATTTTGATAATTTCATTGCTTCTAGAAATAAACTACAATAAAGTTCCAAATGGGATGCCATATATACACAATAAAACTAAGAAAAAAAAAAATTAGAGCATTTATGATAAAATTCTTCTTGCTACATTTTTTTTGAAAAGTCATTGTTGGTTAGACCTTGAGATTGAAAAATTTGGAAAAGGATCCTCGCCAGATCCTTTTCTTAGGAATCCGAGAGATTCCGTGATAGTGATTGTTCATCGTATATCGTGCGGTCAAATATACGATAAACGGTTACAATCACAGAATCCCCTTTGATCCATCGGTCTTCCACAAAAGTTGATCCATCACCGAAAAATGTTGATCAATAAAAAAACATGATAAAATTGAGTGGCAACATTAAATTAATATTGATTTAATATATTTATAAAAAGATGTTTAGTTGAACATCCATTAATATCTGAAAAACATATGGTGGTTTATCTAAAGGAGCTTTGATGAAAAGGATTTAGACTTAAGTTTATTTTAACAAAAAATCATGTTATAACTTTATTTAATGAAAAAGAATTAAATATTAATGAAAAATCCTTAAATTTTAATAAAAATGACAAAAGAACTTAAATTTTCATGAAAATGACAAAATTTTAATGAAAAAAAAATTTTCAAACGCGTAGGACCGGTGCGTCCATCACAGACACTGTTTATGAAACTGAACACTATTTGTGATACTGAACGGTACTACACTAGTTCTAGGTCATGTTTCATTAATAGTGCCTAGTTCTAGGTCATGTTTCATAAAAAGTGTCTAATTCTTGGTCTAGTTTCATAAATAGTGTATAGTATAGTTTCATAAATAATTTCTACTTATTGGTTTGGTTTTAGAAATAGTGTCTAATTCTAGGTCCAGTTTCATAAATAATGTCTATTATTTATCCAGTTTCATAAATAGTGTCTAGTTATTAGTCTAGTTTTATAGATACTGTCTATTTATTTATTGGTCAAGTTTTATAAATAGTGTCTAATTCTTGATTGTTTGGAAATAAAAAATAAAGAAGAAAAAAATGAAAAACTGAAGTCATGAAATTGGAGATTGGATGTTCGGAAAAAGACTACCGAACCTCAATAATTATTGAGTTAGCATACTATTCTAATAACTTTATTGGAGATTGGATGGCGGCATGCGTGATCGGATCGACAGGCAGTGGGAAGTTTGATGTTCGGAATTTTAATTTAGTAATTGAAAATAGTTTTTTTAGATATAACTAGAAAATGTGCCCGAGCGTTGCTGCGGGACTTGAATGTATCACCTTGAACTGCATGAATAAGATACATTTTACCAGAACAAATTCAACACAATCATAAATGAAGAAAGGGATAGATGAGTGAATGAGGTTAGTAAGATATGCAGCTTCGTTTTTATATACATTCAACTGAGCTGACATGAAAAGACATTGTACCATGAACAGGACGAAACTGAACGTTTTGGTTCCCTAATAAACAGAAGTAACATACAGTTCACACAAATCTTGCCCTTGTAGTCAATGTGGCAAAATATATATCATGTAGATTAGGCAACATAAAAACTGTTTCGTTCTTATTCTAGCATCTAAGTTTTCAAGGACAAACGTGCAAAGCGAAAAACATGCAGGAGAAGTAACATGCAGTCCACACATATTTTGCCTTGCAGTTAAGATGGAGTTTCGTTCTTGTTCAAGCAGCTAAGTCTTGAAGCAAAAATGTTGAAAGCCAAAAACATGTAGAACGCCCTGCAGCAGTCGTTCTTGTTCAAGCAGCAAAGTCTTCCGCACTATAGCAAAGAAAATAAATCATAGTTTAAAAGAATATCACACGATGGTCCTGTTTAGAATCATAATTTACTCCCCAATTTCCACCTAACTCCGAACAAACAATATTGATAATTCTTTATCATCACCTTTAACAAAACAGATGACAGCGAAAAGAAAAAAAAAAGTTCCTATGTGAACAAATTCTTCTGGATGTCCAACTTAACCCATCTATGAGAAGGCAAGCAATCGGACGTGCATTTAGACCAAGGAAAATAAATTATACAACTAAAAACATCAACCGATTCTCCTGAAGAGAACACACACACATGCCAACATATTATTCACCAGATTCTAAGCTTTCATTTTCGTTCTATCCCTTTCGTTATCTAAACTTATAATTATCAAAACAGCAATAGAATAATGGAGCAACCTTCAATCATTTATCAAAACTGAATTAATTAAACTTCTGCTCAGCACTCCGTTAATTTTAATTGCAACTCTCGTTCTAAAAATTAAAAATTTTGCATTTGAATAATCAAACGCACTTACACATTACATTCCTTTTATTGGTTCTTGACACAATACATTTTAGGATTCGATGTTACAATAATATCACTGAAACATGAATCGCGATAGATATAGAAACCAAACTTGCACACAAATGTTCGACTGAATTCAGAACCATTTAATTCAACATAACAAATTACCTCACATGCTTGCTCCCCTTCTGCTCTCGCATCGTTGGCTGCGCTTCTAAACGGTTAATGAAGTCCTAAAAACAGAACAACAAAAAACGTTTACCTATCCAACATTTCAACATATGGTTTTGGCAGGTATAACATTTCAACATAAGCATGATATAGAAAGACAGAAATCCACATGTCACTTTGTTTTTTCAGAACCAACAAAAAGGGCAACTATAAGAGAATGTAACCAATTTTAAACAGTAAATCAGTCTCCCAATAAAGGAGAACATAAGCATGACATACAAAGATCGAAAGGCAGATTTAATTTGGTTTCCTCAAAAGCAACGAAAAGGAGGCTGAATCAGATCAAATTAAACAAAGTGAAAACCGGATAGACAAAGATTAGAAATTTGCTTGCATCTCTATCATATCCCGCATTTCCTTTACAAAATAAACAATCATGAATACAAAGCACATGAAAATCAGCAAACCAAAAAAAACAAAGATAAACGCACAAATTTCCAAAGAAATTGAAATTGTGTCATGAAAATTAACTAACGAATCATATTGAGACATCTTTGCTTGGTGCTTGGCAATGCTCTAACTCACTATGGGGTTTTAAATTATTCTATCCAGGTACAATGATGGGGATGCACTGCCAGCTGATGACCAGTCATTTATACTTGATAATGTTCTCAATTACCATCCGGATAAAGTTGTTAAAATGCGTTCTAGAATCGGTCATCTCACAGTATGCTTATCTACCCTGTTTTTGCTTAACTGCGTTTTATTTAGAATTATGTTCAGCGCACTTTTGATGCATTATGCTTGGAATCTGTGACTGATTTTATTGTTATATTGGTTATTGTACTGTTCATTTCATTGTAGGGCAGACAGGAAACATTAAAATAGTAATGAAGCTCAGAATATTCGCTAAACACCAAAACCCACATCACATGCCCTCTACCCAACAAAGATAAATTAAAAACTACAATACAATGCTGAAAAACTAAAGTAGCCAGAAACCAAAAGATCTTAGTGACAACTTGCACGGACATTACAAAAATGCAGGACTCAAAACACACTAAAACGTCTAGAAACTCGAAGTTATCGCTATTTGGTTATGAAGATAGATATATATCACCAGGAAACCCAAAAAATGGCCAGGATTTGCCAAAATTTATAAATCAAACACATATGCATCAACTCCTTTTCCTCTGTTAGTCTGTTATCATCTCGCATGCCACACTATTCGAGACTGGATCAATTCGATCACAGCCAAACTGCCAGCATTAAACTTAAGGAAGTACCGATCAAATGATCTAAACATTGTGTATTACAGATCCAAATCAATAGTGGTAATAAATAAGATAATTTCAGCTGTCATTTGCAATTAAAATTGAACAATGCTTATTCCCAAGGAATATCTGACAATGATTGCAGCAATCAAATGTGCGTTCAATTGAATTAGCTATGTATTTGAGGATTTGGGAAAGGTTTTTTGAGAGTAAACAGACGTTAATTATTAGCTATGTATTTGCTTAACAAACAGTAGCTGAAATTGCTATGTATTTTTCAATGGGGAATTTAAAAACCAATCCCAATTTGTCATTGCTCAAACAAATTGGAATTTCAGAACCAATCTCAATGATCAAATTAACGAAATATTTCTTAAGCTAATTTAGAAAGGCAAATTGCAAGATTTTGAAGGAATTTGAAAAATGAGGGAGAAAAAACCAAATTAGAAGGTCGTGCCTTATCTCCCTCACAAAATCAATCGCACAAAAACCATAGCTTTTGATGGAATTTCAAAACCAAACAAATCTCAAAGATAAAGTTGTCATGTAAACATGTCTAACACAGATTTCTCAATTATTAACACTACTCTTTCCCAATTATTAAAAACATAAAGATCAAAGTCAATTGGGTGTATAATTATATACCTCATCATGCCAAGCAAAGCAACCAACTTCTGCCTCCAACGACCCAAAATTCTGAAAATTCCAAAAAATTTAATTTAAAAAAAAAAACATAAGAAAGATAAAACCCAGCATAAGAGAAATCTACAAACCGGATGCCAGATCATCAAAAGATTAAAAACCACTCAGAATCAATTAGCATTTGAGTCTAAATATGAGAATTTGTGAATTTGTTCCATAGGATAGTTAACAGGATACTATCATATCAAAACCAACGCTGAATAAAATTAAGCAATGAGATTGCGATGATATAACGTCATTTCCTTAAAGCTTCATATACTAACCTAAAAAAGAAAATATGGGAAGAATAGACTGCCTCCATTGGCCCTCCAAGTCTCCTAACCACCAAACCACCCGTCTAGATGCATTTGCCTGTTCTTTCCCACAATTCTTAGAGATCAAATAGAACCCTCGGATTGACTGGGGACAATATGGAAAACCTTTTTGAAGCCGTAATACAGGAAGACATGAATAATTTTGACAGAAAGACACACAAATTGTTGAGGGAGGATGTAAAGCTTCTGCACGGAAGGTTTCTAATCTTGTACATCTAAAAAAATTAAATGAAGCAAGAGAAATTCAACAAAAAAACTTGATAACCCTTGCCCAAAAGAACTCACTAAATTCAAAGCATACCATCTACACTGAGTCACTAACATACATTGCTCAGTTAGGACTCTGTTATACTTATCATCCTTGATCAATGTAATCATATATTTCATAGCTACACTCCCCATTGACATACACTAACATAGCATCTACTTTTTTGCTGACTTTATTTGCTCAGTTAAGCAATAGCCAACATACACAATCTGACAATCATAGCAGCTACAGCAATCATCCATAAATGGGCAGAAATACAAATACTATTATATTGGGGTTTGGAACAAATAAACCAATCATCCAATTCGAATGTTGTTTGGAACAAATACACAAACCATTCAAGTGAAATGGCATTTGGCACAAATACATTTTTCCATTAATTGGATATTCAATTAACTGGGATTAAAAAATGATTACCAAACAAAAGCCAATTTTCTAAAGAAAATTAGTGTTTTATACCTGCCAATTCCAAAGGCCTGTATACGCCCAAAATTGAGGGATGGTGACATCTCCAATTTGGAGTTGGCGATCTGCATTTCCTGCAATTCCATAGTGTACAATAGCTTTCACCTTGAATAGGGTTTGTAGTAATTGAGTTGAGATGCCTGCATTGAGCTTTTCACAGGTTTCTACATCAATTTTTTCGAGCAGGTTTCTACAGAAAATACTTCAATAATATTGAATGATACGGGAAATAAATGGTTAAGATTTACACTAAAAGATTTAATAATTGTCGAATCTAACGGATAATACACTTGTAGTATTGAAGCCAGACACTGTTTCTACATCATTTATTAAATACATTATCTATGATATGCACTGACCAACGAAATTAATCAAAGTAAAACAGATGGTCATCTGCATAATTAAACATACCATGCTCAATCCAGTCATAACAATTATAACCTTTTTGTCTTCCAATCGTCCAATTCGAAACCTTCTTCCTGTCAAATTGAGTATGTAGAATTTGGTCCAAAGTTAATTTTTCTTTCAATTACAATATTCTATGTATTTATAAATTTCAGAGCAGAACGTGCAAAGGCAAGAAAAGCAGCAACAACAACAAAACTCGTATATACCATGAGCTATAAAGATAAACATTTTAGCAAATGATACTGATTTCCGCATACTCATTATTCTCCATATACACTCGTGTTTATTTTGGCCATTTGAATTGAATAAAAAAATATAAAAAAATAAAAAGACAAAAATTCAACAAAGGTGCAGAATAAGAAAATAGTGTGAGAAATCAGTTTCTTTTAGGAAATATATGTACATATCACTCAAAGAACACCCATGTAATTATACAAACTTAATGAATATATATATATATATATAATTTTATGCTTACCAGCAAAATCCAAATACGGTAGCCTCTGATAAGCCACAAAGCTTGCAAATCGAGGCCCCGGTGAAGCATAAGCATTACAGGCCTGCGGTGAGTTCTAGGTCACCTCCTCCTATCTCTCTCTCTCTCTCTGTCCACATGAGAAAACCACATCACCCAAAAGGTCAGAGATTTCCAAAACCAAAAGGAAATTAAGAGAGAGAAACGGAGGGGAGAGAGAGAGAGAGAGAGAGAGATAGGAGTACCGTTAGTTAAAGCGTGGACGGCTTCGGTTCTCCGACCACTGTAATCCCTGAAGATCTCTTCCGCCCGCCGACTCGAGTCCATCTCCCTGCACTTCTCCTTCATCCCACCGAAGCTCTCGAGTTACAAAAATGAAGCCGAGTTTGTGTGGTTTTGGTTTTAGGAAGCAGGTGCCGATGCTATTCCAGAGATGGTGTTGTGGCTGCTAGGGTTTGAAAGTGAAAACGAAGCCAGAAAGTTGGCTAAAAGCACCCGAGTGGCAATCTTGTAAATAAACTGAAATGTCCTATAAAACACTGTTCATATGAATAGTGCGATTTCCCCTCCTACTTTAGACTAAAGTAATTATAAGAAAACTAATTAAAAAAGTTTGAAAACTTTGAGTTTTAACAATAATGACAAAATAAAGAGTAAAATGAATAGTATCAGGATTGACTTTTTAACGTAAATATGTGGTTTTTCGTTAAAGTGAACAGTAACGGAAGCTTTTCATTAAAGTTCCCTATAATTATTGAGGTACGTTTGGATGTTCGAAAATTGGAGATTGAAACGAAGTTGAATTTCCAAGAGATTTGATGAGAGATGGACCTTTGATTGGAAAAAGACTACCAACTAACAGTTTAAAAAAAATCATCTGCTTCCTTATACTGTTCTTCTTTGTAAGTGGAGGATCACGTATCTGACAGAGGCGTAGTGGCGTGCTTTTTTTATGTATTTTTTTTCTTTTTTCTTTTGTTCTTATCATTAAATAAAGTTAGTAGATGATTTTTTGTTAAAACTCGAAGTTTTGAAATTATTTTCATTAGTTTTTTTTTTTTATCTAAAAGTTCTTTTAAAATTAATGTTTTTTTTTTTTTTTTAACAAAAATGTTCTTTTAAAATTAATGTTTTGAGTTATAAGATCTTTCACTTTAGTTTGATCATAATTACACATTTGCACAAATTTCATTATGGACGAGTAATAATAAGGTTCAAATTTGTTTTAGACGAGAATCGAAAAATATGACCTTTTAATTACGGATTAGGATCATCTCCGGAGCAATTACATCCGGATCATCGGGTCAACGAATTCTGACCATCTTTAATAGATCGTGCGGTTAAAAATAAACTTTCCTCTTCCCCTTTCATTTGCAATCACCAACCTTTTTCTTCGAGCCGTATCGAAGCCGAACTCCAGCGATTTTAGATGATTACAGCGGCTTCTGATCTGGTTTCTACTCTTGGAGGGTGCAAGAGAAGCAGAGTTATAGGAGGACGGGAGAAGAGATAAGTTCAAGAGGTCGACCAACACGATTGTTGACATGTCACCGTCGTCGAACAGGAATCAAGTGTCTATCGTTGGATGGGAATCAGGTCACCACGGGTTCAATTTAGGGGGCGATGGAGGAAAAATCTTCTTCTCTAATTTCAATATATAATGTGTTGTCTCTATCCCCCAGGATTAGGATCAAATTGAAGCACAAAGGAGGAGGTTGGGGATTGCAGGGTAGAGGGGAAGGGCCTTGCCAAGAAATTGGGTTTTGATATTTTCCCATGAAAACATAAAATTATGAAATTAATGAAACTATTAGTTAGAGAGGAAGAGGACTTAGACAAGACCAAGGTAGAGATCAGAGTAGATAGACGAACACCATTATCGATGCAAATTTCCGTCATCTTCAGTCTTGACGAAAATGCACTTGGTAGAATATGGGGTATTTATAAGGATAGGGTCGTCCATAGTGTTTAATAGAGAGATATTCTCTAAATATTCCCAAGATATTAAATAGGAAACAATATCTTGAGATAATGGTGTAATTATCCCTTATTTATTTAAATTAGGATTACTTACTTGATTGGAGTCAATCTTCAAATGGGAATGTATTAAAGATAGGATTTGGGTAATTAATCCTTATTTTAATACCTTGCCAATGGAAGGTGAGCAATATTCAGCTGCTGGGACCTCCAGGGATGTGAGCTACGCGTGGGAGCATCTGACAGTACTATGTTGGGTTCCACAAATGCCCACGTGTCAAGAATGATGTTTTACGTGTGGAGGTCAAGAATGATGTTTTAGGCGTTTTCCTTGGGTTTCCATCCTGATTCATCTTCTAGGGCATTGTTGACCTTGACGCCATCTTCTTGACCTGTCTGCTGTAATTACTATTTGGCAGAAGTAGAGTCGTCCTTATGCACTTTAGTTTCTACTGTTGGGGCGAAAGAATTTTTCTTCAACTCCTTAAGAACTTGTACAATGCATATCCGAAACATGGCCTGGTCACCTTTGATCTCTCCGACTGCTTCTCCCGTGATGCAAAATCGGATTTTCTGGTACTCGATCAAGGTCACAACTCCAATCTTCACTAGCCAAGGTCAACCCAATATCCCATTATGGGGAGATGGATCACTAACGATCATGAAGGTTTACGATGAGACAATCGGTGAGCAGGTTACGTAAAGTGTGATAGTGTTAATGGCAGTTAAGATGAGTCTATTGAATCCGATCAAGACCTATGCTTTGCATTCGATCGTGCTTTTCATGCCCATCTTTTGGATGATTGACAGTTATAGGATGTTGACTGAGCTGCCGTTGTCCACCATAATTTTTCAACAATTGCGTGGGACAGTTGTACATAAATAACCAAGGCGTCGTCGTGGGGAAAGTCTACTCCCTCAGCGTCCTGCTCGGTGAAGCTGACAATTGGTCCAAGTACAACATCTATGGCTTAGACCTGATAGACTGATCTCGCCTGCTGGATCTTCCTCTTTTTGGAGTTATTAGTAGCCCCTAAGTGCTAGGATTCGGCAAAGATTTCGTTGATTCAGATTGTCTTGGTTGGGGCTTAGCATCGGCATCTGCTTCTCGCTTTGGTCGGGCAACTAGTCTGTCGATGTACTGATCACACTTGCTTTCTTCACGAGTTATTCAAGGTACCTTTTCCACATGATGCAGTCATTGGTTGTGTGTCTATGACCTCTATAGAATGCGTAGTACTTTGATTGGTTTTTCTTAGAGGTGCCTCCCTTCATAGGTTGCGGTGGGTTGAACCACGGTTTATCCTTAAGGTCGCGAAGGATCTAGTTAATCGAGAATGAGAACTCAGTGTATGTCTTGGGTGTCGTGCTTCCCTTTGCTAGGGATCGGTCCATTCGTTTGTCTCCTGGCTTGTTTTTGTTATTGAGCGGTTTATCGCTCGCCTTTTTCTGAGTCGGTTATGTGTCTTTGTGCGTCTGCTTAGGCAGCTTCTGGGAGCGTTTTTCCTCATCCCAGAGGGAATGCTTTTCTGCCAAAGCATAAGAGTTTGCCAGGGTCAAGTTCTCACCCATGATCAATTCACCTAAAAGTTGGTGATCTGTTAGGAGCTCCTTTCGGAAAGCTGAGCATGCAATGCTATTATCACATCCGACGATCTTCACCTTCTCTATCTTGAATCTCTTGACGTAAGTGTGGAGTGACTCATTTGTGTCCTTCTTCATCTTGAAGAGGTAGTTAGACTTCTTTTTGATCGAGCGGTAAGACGAATATTCATTGGTGAAAACCAAGGAAAGTTATCTAAAATTCTGGATTAAACATGGCTGCAGGATGTGGAACCAGTCTTGCTCATCGCCTTGGAGCTTCGTGGCAAAGATCTTGCACATGAAAGCGTTATCGTTGGCGTAGAGGGTTATGCCACTTTGGTAGTGCATCAGATACCTGTCCAAATCTTCATCTCTTTTGAACAAAGTAAAATGTGGCAGGCTAAACTTCCACGGTGGCTCTGTCTGCTCGATCTCGTCTGTAAAATGTGAACTGCTTAGGTTGGCCACGTCTTTCTTAAGGGCATCGTCGGTAGTGTCAATGCGCTGGAATCTGCTCAACTACTCTGCACAAGCTTTTGTACTTCCTCATGGATTTGTGCCTGGTGGGCATTGGAGCCTCCAGTTGTCCTCGATGTTGACCTGCTAGTCCATATTGCTCTTCGGCATGTCCTGCTCGTCATGTCGCGGTTGCGGTGCACATGGTTTGCCCTGTGCTGCTCACCGTCACTCTTGGTGGGGGCTGCAGTGGAACTTGAGCTGGATTGTTCTCGTGCTCTCCTCTGGTAATCACGCAGCTGCCTACTTCATTACCTTATAGGAGGATCTCCTTGGGCCTAGCCTCATGTGGACAATTCTCCTAGAATGTCATGAGTGCTAGTTAGAGTGTGGACCCAACCTTGAATGCACACTGACTCGTGAGCCGAGTCAGGTATGAACGTTTCTCTGCGCATCTGGGCGGGAGAAGATGTTTCCCCAAGGGCCCAAACGAGAGTGCACACTGCCCAAACGCTCGGTTCATGACGGGTTGAGCGACTCTTTGCCGGGACGTCACAGGAATGAGTCACATTCTTCTGCCCTTGTCCTATTTCGGGACACCTCGTCTGGGGCGCACTGCATCTCGATGTGCTCGAGTAGTTGGGTTACTAAAGTGGTCTGCTGCGCGATGGCGTTTGTCAAATTGGCAACCTACTGGGGCAGGTGGTGCTCGCTATTTGGATTGGAAGAGCCTGAAAAATTGGTGTCTCTATATGTGGTGGAAGTATAGTGAACTGCAGGTATAAAGCTTGAGCCCAAAGCGAGCATTATTGCAGAAAAATGGGGTGAAGTAACCCTAAATCGATCGCAGGACCGTTGGTCGGAATCTAAATCGCTAGAGGTGGCCTTAAAATGGATTGGGTTGTGGACCGGGTCATCGAAATGAGTCGCGAGGCGAGTTAGACAAGCACCTGCTCGCCTTAGGCCTACATGGCCGTTGGGCTACCACATCATGGTCTATTGGCTAAGTTAGGCTTAAGCCTGTTGAGCGGCTTGGCTGGTTGCATCTGCCACGTTCTGGGTTCTGGTTTGGGCCTGCTGTTGCAGTGGGCTGGGCCTCCTGCCTTAGGCCTGCTGTGGCAGCTACCAAGTCTTGGGCCTCTTGCCCATGGGCTTGGAAATGGACCTGGGCTTCTTGCTTAGGGTTTGGTTAGGTGCGACGTTGCAAAGGCAGCGGCGATGGAAATGGTGTCGTGGCCTGGTGGCTTTGCCATGGTTGCTGGGTCACTGTGGTGGTGGTAGTGGCGCGACTCCACCGCGGTGGGGCTCCTTCTGTCGTCGCGTTGAGCCTTGAGGATCTCCGTCGTGGGGCTATATCCTTGTGTCCATTCTTTGGTCCAAATCCTTGCACGTACGGGGTTCCGTTCATCGTAGTTTCTAAATTTCCTACCATTGTATCCTTTATCTAGG